AAGGATTCTATGGGCAAAATATCGAAGGACACAGGAAGCATCAAAAGAAGATGGAAGGAATACACTGAGTCACTGTACTAAAAAGATTTGGTCGACATTCAACCATTTCAGGAGGTAGCATATGATCAAGAACTGATGGTATTGAAAGAAGAAGTCCAAGCTGCACTGAAGATATTGGCAAAAAACAAAGCTCCAGGAATTGGTGGAATGCCAATTGAAATGTTTCAATAAACAGATACAGAACTAGAGGTACTCACTCGTCTCTGCCAAGAAATTTGGAAGACAGCTACCTGGCCAACAGACTGGAAGAGATTCGTGCTTGTGCCCATTCCAAAGAAAGGTGATCTAACAGAATGTGGAAATTATCTAACAATATCATTAATATCACACCCAAGAAAAATTAAAAGAATTTTTTAATTGTGTTTTAGGTGAAATTTTACAGCACAAATTAGTTTCTCATGCAAAAATTTATACACAAATTGTTTTGTGATTGCAATCCCCACAATCTGTCAGCACTCTCCCTCTTTTCCTTTACACACGGGTTTCCCGTGTCCATTCGTCCAGGTTTACACTCAAGTAAAATTTTGCTGAAGATAGTTCAAAAACGATTGCAGCAGTACATTGACAGGGAACAGCCAGAAATTCAAGCTGGATTCAAAAGAGGACGTGGAAAGAGGGATATCATTGCTGATGTCAGATGGATCTTGGCTGAAAGCAGAGAATACCGGAAAGATGTTTACCTGTGTTTTATTGACTATGCAAAGGCTTCGACTGTGTGAATCATAACAAATTATGGATAACATTGAGAAGAATAGGAATTCCAGAACACTTAATTGTATTCATGAGGAACCTGTACATAGACCAAGAGGCAGGCATTTGAACAGTACAAGGGGATACTGCCTGGTTTAAAATCAGGAAAGATGTGCATCCTTTCATCATAGGTATTCAATCTGTATGCTGAGCAAATAATCTGAGAAACTGGACTATATGAAGAAGAACACCACATCAGGATTGGATGACTCATTAACAACCTGCGACATGCAGATGACACAATCTTGCTTGCTGAAAACAAAGAGGACTTGAATCACTTACTGATGAAGATCAAAGACTACACCTTAACATAAAGAAAACAAAAATCCTCACAACTGGACCAATAATTAACATCATGATAAATGAGAAAAGATTGAAGTGATCAAGGATTTCATTTTACTGGGATCCACAATCAATGCCCACGGAAGCAGCAGTCAAGAAACCAAATGATGTATTGCATTGGGCAAATCTGCTGCAAAAGGCCCTTTTAAAGTGTTGAAAAGCAAAGATGTCACTTTGAGGGCTAAGGTTCGCCTGATCCATGCCATGGTATTTTTAATTGCCTCATGTGCATGCGAAAGCTGGACAGTGAATAAGGAGGACCAAAGAAGAATTAATACCTTTGAATTAAGGTGTTGGCTGAGAATATTGAATATACCATGGACTGCCAGAAGAACAAACAAATCTATCTTGGAAGGAATACAGCCAGAATGCTCCTTGTGAGTATGGTGAGACTTTGTCGCAGGTACTTCGGACATGTTATCAGGACAGACCAGTCACTGGAGAAGAACATCATGCTTGGTAAGGTAGAGGGTCAGCGAAAAAGAGGAAGACCCTCAACGAGATGGATTGACACAGTGGCTGCAACCATGGATTTAAACATAGCAATGATTGTGAGGATGGTGCAGATTGGGCAGTGTTTCATTCTGTTGTACATAGGGTCTCTATGAGTCAGAACCAACTCAACAACAAGATCCCCGTGTCTCTATAGATTTCTTAAGTCTGTGTGTCTGGGTGGAGTTAGCTATAGAATGTCCTCAGTTCTTTGAAGCATTGTGGGCTTCAAATTAATCAGGTTGCACTTGTCAGTCTAGGGAGCCCCTCGGTGGCACAAACGGTCAAGCGCTCGACTATTAGCTGAAAGATTGGTGGTTCGAACCCACCCAGAGGCTCTTAAGAGACAGGCCTAGCGATCTGCTTCTGAAAGGTCACAGCCTTGAAAACTGCATGGAGCAGTTCTACTTTGCACATCTGGAGTCATCGTGAGTTGGAATTGACTTGACAACAATGAACAACAACACTTGTCAGTCTAAATGTACTTCATTCAGGTTTTGGGCGGCAAGTTTAATTCATCTTATTTAAATCATGGGAGAGAAGGAGAAACACAATCTGTGTTTCAAAAAATCAAAACCATTTGCCGCTGTTATGAGCAGCTTGTTGGCTCAAGGCTGTGTTAGGAGGCCCAGGGCTGCTGAGCGCAGTCCTTCCTGGGAGTCATAACTGTCATTGACACCAACTGCTGCTGCAGATTTCAGTGGGAGCGGGAGAGAGCCTAGCACCCAAACTAGGAGGAAAGGCAGCAGAAACAAATCTGGTTCCATCAGCTGCCTTCCCCATCTCAGCCCAGAACTCTGGGATCTACGTTCTTTTGGCTGAGAGGCACATGGTTGGAAAATTTGCAATACAGATGGCTGATTCCTGACTTGAGCTATGTCATGGTTTGAATTATGTCCCCCCAAAAATGTGTGCATCAATTTGGCTGGGCTATGATTCCCAGAGTTGTATGGTTGACTTCCATTTGGTGATTGTAATTTTATGTTAAAGAGGATTAGGGTGGTATTGTAATACCACCTTTACCCAGGTCACATCCCTGATCCAATGTAAAGGAAGTTTCCCTGGGGTGTGGCCTGCACCACCTTTTATCTCTCAAGAGGTAAAAGGAAAGGGACGCAAGCAGAGAGTTAGGGACCTCATACCATCAAGAAGGCAGTGCCGGGAGCAGAGCACGTCCTTTGGACAGGGGTCCCTGCGCCGAGAAGCTCCTAGTCCAGGGGAACACTGATGAGAAGGCCAAGAGAGAGAGAAAGCCTTCCCCTGGAGCTGACACCTTGAATTTGGACTTTTAGCCTACTTTACTGTAAGGAAATAAACTTCTCTTTGTTAAAACCATCCACTTGTGGTATTTCTGTTATAACAGCACTAGATAACTAAGACAAGCTAGAAGTAATGGATATGCTCCCTTAAAGAGTGGATCATGTATTGACTTTGCAATATGTTGCTTTTGGGAGACGCTTAATAAAGAGGAGGTGACGGTTCATTAGTGTGGTGGAATATAAGAAAATGAAAACACATGTCCGTGGGATTCACTCTTCCATTAGGTACATTTATCTCACTTCTCCCTAATCAACTCCACTCCTTAATCCTTCCCACACATCCCTTAAAGAGAACCAAGAGCAGAGAAATGTTTGGTCTCCACTCCTTTTTTCTCATGGTACACAGAATTTCTGAGGAGGAGCTGTTTCTGAACCCATAATCAGCAGAAGCCTTGGAGGCAGTCCCTCCTCAAGGCTACTCACGGGCTAGGGTGGGCTGCACCCCACTCTGCATCCTATTTCCTTAAGCAAGAGAACACTTACTCTCTTTCCTTTTGTAAGTTCTCTATTTTATTATCTAATCTATTTAGTGTGAATGCAAGCAACCTGGTCAGCCTACATTGCAGGTACCCAATCAAGTATGTGCAATATAAATAAATAATGAGAGAAGTAATCATTTTGTTGACTGAAGAGGAAGTTTGCTGCTTTCCAGGCCTGCTTTTAAAATATTGGTTCCCAAGCTGTTCAACAGTAAAGGCCCTTTGTAACATTAAAACATTTTGTGAGTCCCTGCAAAATAGTAGTTACACTATTAAACCAAGAAACCAAACTCGTTGCCATCAAGTTGATTCCAACTCATAGAGACCCTATAGGACACTATTAGTACCCATTCAATCAGAATTCAGTAACATGTTTAAATAAATTTTATTAACCATATATATCTTGTTGTTGTTAGGTGCCACTGGGTCAGTTCCAACTCATAGCGACCTCATGTACAACAGAACAAAACATTGCCTGGTCCTGCGCTGCCCTCATGATTGTTATTATGCTTGAGCCCATTGTTGCAGCCAC